CCCCCCCCCCCCCAGAATCTATGGCAGGCTGGCACTGAAGCAACGTGAAATCGGGAGCAAGGTGGTGGATCTGTCCTTTGTGCAATTCAGTGCCTTTGTGAGATCTGCAACTCCCTGTGTGCGTGAACCATTGCTCATTCACATGGTCCTCTCTCTGTCTAGGTATCCCTCCAGCCAGTGGCACGGGCACACTCCAGATCTACCTAATTGACATCAACGATAATGCTCCTGAACTTCAGCCAAAGGAGGCCCAGATATGTGAGAAGCCAAATCTGAATGTCATCAACATCACAGCCGCCGATGCTGACATCGATCCAAATGTCGGCCCCTTCGTCTTTGAACTGCCGAGCGTGCCATCTGCCATTAGGAAGAACTGGACCATTACACGTCTAAATGGTAAACCAAGCGGGGAACACCTGGCCCTGTTTGTCACTTGGCACATGGGCCTTCAGACTTTGAAACTTTCTGTGCCGTCTTTGGTGTTCATTTTTTTTTTAAAAGAAAGCCACGTTCGGGACAACATTTATAAGCAAGAGAGTTCATGAGAAATTGCCTGGATTGGCCCTGAAGCTGAATGGCTCACAGCTTGCATTGGTTCTTGGCTTGCCCACCTTCATGCAGCTTGCAATTACACAGGGTTACGAAGTTGGGATAAATCATCTGTAATTGCCCAGGAGAAAAAGCTATTGTCAGTCTTCCTTATGTTCCATTTTTATTGTCATAAGCCACAATCAGGATCAATGATCAACCTCTGCCCATAATTGCTTAAAAGTCACCTCCTTTTCTAATTTACCATAGAGGCAGCTTTAATGCTTGGAAAATAGGAAGGTTGCCATTTGGGGAGAATGTACAGGGGAGAAGAGCTGTCGAAATTATAATAATTAGCCTCTTGGTGGCTTATCAGAGTCTGCCCAGAGTTCAGCCTAGGTGACCCATGGGCATACAGGTAGTCCTCGGCTTACGACCATAACTGAGCCCCAAATTTATGTTATTAAGCAAGACAGTTGTTAACTGAGTGTTGCCCCATTTTGCGACCTTTCTTGCCACAGTGGTTAAGTGAATCACTACAATTGTTAAGTTAGCAATACGGTTGTTAGGCTAACTTGGCTTTCCCGTTGACTTTGCTTGTCAGATGGTTGCAAAAGGTGATCACATGACCCCGAGACATGGCAACCGTCATAAGTGCATGCCAGTTGCCCAATTTTGATCACGTGACCATGGGGATGCTGTAACGGTCATAAGAGTGGAAAAGGGACACAAGTCCCCATTGTAACTTTGAGCGGTCGCTAAACGAATGGTTGTAAGTCGCGGACTACCTGTATGCCCATGAGTTACTTGGGGGAGTAACTCATAAGGAGTGGACTCTCCAGATCAGTAGATATTCAGAAGAAGCAGATTTTCCATCCAGACTTGTTCTTCATGGCTTCCTCCATTTTGCTCCCCACAGGTGATTATGCTCAACTTGGCTTGCGAATAATATACTTGGAAGCCGGTGTGTATGATGTTCCAATCATTGTAACAGATTCTGGAAACCCTCCTCTGTTTAACATGTCCATCATTAAGGTCAAGGTGTGTCCATGTGATGAGAATGGAGACTGTACCACTATAGGAGCTGTCGCTGCAGCTGGGCTGGGAACCGGAGCCATTATTGCCATCTTGATATGCATCATCATTTTACTAAGTAAGTGTTGCACCAGGCAATGTACGCATATGGTTTGAAGCCAGGGTTCTTTATATACATTGCATGCAGCATTTTTATTTATTTATTTTATTCGAATTTTTTTATTATTATTATTCTGCCTTCATTGCTTCATAAGTAACTCAAGTCAGCAAACACATAATGCTCACTCCTATTTTCCTTGCGTCGGCCCTTTGAGGTGGATTGCTCTGAGAGAGAGCGATTGGCCCAGCTGGCTTGCATGCCTAAAGTGGGGACTAGACTTCATAGTATCCTGGTGATTGCCCCAAGGTCACCCAGCCAAATTTTATGCCTAAAAACAGGACTAGAACTCACCGTTTCCTAGTTTCTAGTCTGGTGCCTTAATCACTAGACCAGACAAAGTTCAATAATTCATAAAATCACAGTAAAAGGGAATCGGTTTCATGGTTGTAAAAGCACAGCTGCTCTGTAGTGGTTAAAAATTGGTTTTTAAATATATGCAGACCCCTCACATCCTGGACATAAACTGTTTCAACGTCTTCCCTCAGGATGGCCGTATAGGGAATTGCATGCCAAAACAACTAGACACATGGACAGTTTGTTTTGTTGTGCCATCACTCTGCTTAACACTGAACACCTAATTCTCACAATACTTCTTATGTCTAAGTATATTTACCCATGTTGTATGGCTGTAGTATTATTACCCTTCTTATCTTCTTTACTATCCATTGGGGGGAGGGGGGGGGAGGAGGGGATGAGGAGAACTCTGTTGCTTTGCATGTACACTGAGAGTTTTTGTACCAGAGACAAATTCTTTGTGTGTCTAATCACACTTGGCCAAATAAAGTTCAATTCAATTCAATAAAAAAAAACCTCAATAAGTACAAATTACCTCTCTATTTACACTTGAAAAATAAGCCATCCTATTTCCTGGGTAATCTTTAATATACACATACTAATTTAATTGTGGTCTGATGGTCATAAGCAATAAATATACATTGGCATTCTAAATTGGTTGATCATAATAAAGCTTCCTAATGCCAATTGCTAGTAGTTTGCGTAGTAAAATTTCACACTGGAAGAAACAGAAGGCAATAAAGCATAAGACACAGTTTTACTTTTTTTTCTGCCTTTGCATAACTCAAGGCCTAAAATATGATTTAAACACTTGAGCATATTCTGTTGACTGAAATTAAATGCGGATGAAAGGGGTTTGATTTAGGAGAATCTTCTTCCCATCTTCAAATCCATTATCCTGTTCTAAATTATGGATTTTTATTACAAATGTATGTTTTTAAAAATTCATTGCTCTAATTGGCTTTTTTAACGTTCAGCAATCACCCTGGTTTTATATCAGTGAAAATGGAATGGTAAATAGAAATCTTTCTTCCGTGTACATTATTTAATTTGGGGGCTTATTCTGTCAATTATTTTTACTGGGGGAGGAGTAGAATGAGTGAGTGGGACTTATGTGGTTTGTGTGTGCCCGTGCATGCCCTTGAATTAATCTTGACTCGTGGCAACAGCCCATTAAGGGCTAAATATGATGTGAAGATACAGGTTTGCCCTCATAAATCCAGCCTTTTCATGGTCCAAGTCTCTAGAGTCATGTAAAATCCCATTCAAATCTGTTCAGAAAATTTATCCCATACAGTTCTACTTCAAACAGGCTGTGATCTATCAGAGAGCCTACAAAGGATCCTAGACTGAGTAGGGTCTTCTCAATTTCTAAGATCCTTCTTAGCCCCCAATGATTTCATGATCCCAAGTACTGTATTCAAATCAGTTTGCAAAAAACAAGACATTTACATCAAATGACATCAGTCAAATTCAGATGTTTGAAATGATTTTAAAGAGGCCAAACTTCAATTAGTTATTTCAATTAGTTTACAGTGGAAGCATCTTAACAAGAGTTGTCCCCCACCCCAAAAAATCAAGACATTGTGACTGCTCTTTTTCACTTCTCCCTGCCTACCACTCACCCATCCCACATGGATGGCATGGAACCTGTTTGGTCTAGTGGTAAAGGCGACTGTGAGTTCTAGTTCCATGATAGCCATGAAAACCAGTTGGGTGACCTTGGGACAATCCCCCTCTCTCTCAATGCCAGTCCACCTCACAGAGATGTTGTTGTGGAGGAAATAGGAGGAAGAAGGAAATTTTGCTGCCTTGAGTTATTTTTTAAAATAATAAAGGTGGGATACAAATAGATAGATCATAGATGATAAAAGAGAGAGGGGAGATAGATAGATAGATAGATAGATAGATAGATAGATAGATAGATAGATAGATAGATAGATAGATAGATAGATAGATAGATAGATGAAAGAAAGAAAGAAAGAAAGAAAGAAAGAAAGAAAGAAAGAAAGAAAGAAAGAAAGAAAGAAAGAAAGAAAGAAAGAAAGAAAAAGAAAGAAAGAAAGAAAGAAAGAAAGAAAGAAAGATAGATAGATAAGATAGGTAGGTAGGTAGGTAGGTAGGTAGATAGATAGATAGAGAAAGAAAGAAAGAAAGAAAGAAAGAAAGAAAGAAAGAAAGAAAGAAAGAAAGAAAATAGATAGGTAGGTAGGTAGATAGATGGATGGATGGGTGGCTGGGTGGGTGGGTAGGTAGGTAGGTAGATAGATATAGATATAGATATAGATATAGATGATATAGATATAGATATAGATATAGATATAGATATAGATATAGATATATAGAGAGAGACAGAGAGACAGAGAGACAGAGACAGAGATGAGAGACAAAGAAATGATAGATAGATAAAATGAAATGAAATGCTTCCGATTCACAGACATTTAACTTGATGGTTTAAATGTGCACTTCCAATTTGATTGGAACAGTCTGGATGATTCAGAGATTTTTCTCAAATCATATCTGCAAATTGCATATTCGTCTAGACCCTGTTTCAAAGGGCTGTAGAGTATTCAGAGAACAGCCATCCAGTGCTGGCCATCGCCTCCATCTGCAGGGGGTTACTTCCCAGGGATCCGTGTCCCCTGCAACCCTGGCTTGAAATCTCATCTGAAAAAAAAAAAAAAAGCAAAGAGCTTTTTCTTAAAGCAGTACACTAAAGAAAAATATAATAATTATAATGGGAGAAGGCAATCGATTTCACAAAAATTACCTTCAGAAGGGAAACAGGCCTTAAAGCAACAATGGAGCTCTCTTTTCTTAAGAGCAGATAAAAAAGGATTGAACTACATTTGCTATTGACACTCTGAAAACCTCTTTTTCAAGAGAGCTGTAAAGGTGTTAATAGGACAATTTTTCTACAAAGGGTGACCAGAAGAAAAAAAAAACCCCTGCCTTAAAAGAGAGAGAACTTGCTTCTGGCGAATTGCGAAGAAAGAGAGAGATTTCACTCGTTGTGATAAGTAGTTTGTCTTCATATGTGGATCCCCTTTTATTTATCTCTGATTTTTTTTAAAAATGGCAGGCCTTAAGCAAATGCAAATCAATCTGCAAATCAATGTATATGGCTAGACTTAAAAGAACAGGGAAGTGACATATAGAAACAGTAATTAGCTGCTTCTCCTGTTAGAGC